TCGAATGACTTGACTGTCAAAAATGTCAATTTTACACTGTAGTTCCAGTTTCACGTAGGTGTAGAATTGTTTTATGATATTATAACAATATTTTTACCAACCTGACAAGATTGAGCGATATAATGAAACACAACAATATAGCGTAGAGTATCTCGTTATCGGTAAAAGCCACGTAATGGCTTTGTTACTCTAACGAATATTATAATACGTATATGGTATATTGTACTTGCCTTCAACACGAAAGTATCTTTTTCGGAAGTTGAAGATGTTGCATTATTCCGCAGAGTACCAATATATATAACCCGTTGACTTAGGTAATTGTTTGTCTTTTACAGGGTCAACAACCACAAGCCGAAGACGAAAATACGCCACAAAAACGAGTGGATAAAATATTTGATCAAATGGATAAAAATCACGATGACAAACTTACACTGGAAGAGTTCCGGGAGGGTAGCAAGGCGGATCCGAGAATTGTGCAAGCGCTTTCACTCGGTGGAGACCATAACAATGCTACAGCTCCCCAAGTAGCCACCACATAAGTCTGTCGGATGAGAGTTTTTCCTACAGATTGACTTTGTTATCTATATTTTTTGTGTCTAATTTTTTGTCCTTTACTTACACTATATTTTAATAATATTGTAATTTTTCTTATAACAATATACTTAAACATTTTTATGAATTCTTATGTAAATTACTGTACTCGGAATATTATAGTTTAATCTTACAGTTATAACAATAATATAAGATTGTGTCTCATACTCTTATCCATCTTAGTGGATAGAAGAACTTTCAGAATAATATGTAGCGCTTATGTATATAATTATTATAGGTATTATCAGCGTTATGGTTTTATACCTTCATAAATAAACGTGTAATACATGCGTTTATTATATATACGACTAATTTTAATAATTTCTGTGTGAAAAATAAATTCATACATTGTGTAAGCACTTATATAGTCATAAATATATATATTATATATATAAAACCGATTTATGCACAATTATTTTAAAAATTTAAAACCATTAATCTAAGTAACTTTGTTATCGCCTTTACAGATCACTGATTATTGTTTTATTTAAATACTTATATTTTACGGAATACTCATTTTAAATAATTTGGTATATATTATTAAAATTTTCCTAGTTGTTAAAATAACATAATAAGTAGCTTTGTTAATACGCATTTTACTTTAAATCATTGTATGTATGTTTTGTTTTTAGCTAAACTTCTAGAAGTTTTTTTTTCATTTAAAATAGTATTATTGAAATTTCTTTTAGTAAATATTTTATATAAAGTGAATCTACATTGTTAAAAAAAGTCATTGTTGTATAACTATTCATTATTTTAAGTAAGTACTCGTATGTGAGAATAAATATTGTAGGTTCTGAGTAGCTATTAACTTACAATATTGCTAATATTTCTATTTAAAAAAAAAAACATTAGAAACCTTTTTACTCTACCTCTACAGAATAGAAATCAAACATAGATTGTACTTAAAAACGTAATCTTTCTAACTTTAATAATTACAAATCACTAAAATACTGCAAATAAGTATAATCAAGCTAATTATTGGCAATTGATGGCAATATTTTAGAAATATCCCATATTAAACTGTTATTGAAATGCAATATCACTTATAAATATAAAAGCGCTTATTCCAGTGATCCACCTAAACCTATTTCACTTGTTCGCGTCAATTAAATCTAGTATATATATACAATTTTTTTTATTAATTTAAGATAAAACTATCAGCACATAAAATKCACAATGAATAATAAACTGATTTTAATGGGAGTGATTGGCGTAATCAATGAAGTCCCATTAGTGGCATTTCAATCGTCTAATAATAAACTAAACAATTTTTGTATTTGTGTTTAAATGATATTGCACGCATACTTTAATATTAAAAATTTGATAATAAATGCCATTAAATAGTTTTTATGTACATTATTATTAAATTTGTATGAATTTTTTTTTCATTCTTTCAGTACCTACCTATTGATGTTATTTTCATATGTTTTCATTGTAAATATTTATTTATTGTTATGCTTTTGGTTCTGAAGACAAAATAACTCATATACTAAATATTATTATCTCCCACTTTATATTGTCAGCTTAAAAAATAAAATATTGTTTTGTTTGGATTGAGCGTAATACCTATTAATAATATTTATTATTTGTAATTTGAATGTAAATATAGACTTCAAAATTCCTTTTCCTAGTGTTCAATATCGCAATCATACAGAAAAATTGAACCAATTTTTTTTTTTAACGTATGTATAATAATTATATTAACTGAAATATAATGTAGTATATCCTCAATATTTTAATGAATGCGTTAAGTAAAATTGCCCAATAATTGATTTTACGATGAAATAAATACATAAAATGCATTCCAAAGCCTATAAATGTAAATTAACACCGACTGAAATAAAATAAGAAAAACCTGTTTACTTCATATCCTTGAGAAATTCTTTGTTGGTATTGTTCGCTTATCATAACTAGGCAATAGTCGTTCTACTAAGTAAGTGAATTAAAATAAATATAAAAACATTTACTACCAATACTGGCAATACTGCAGAAATTATGTGATTTTTCATATAATATTGTCCATCTATTATATAGCTGAAGATAAACAGGTATGTTATGTGTTATATATTTCATGCGTCTTCTATTTTACGAGTATATCTTATAATAATATTTATAAATATATTTATTTTTTCAAAAAAACTGTTATGTCGGTCACCATACAGCTGTTTTAAATTTATATATAAAATATGTATAATGTGATGTGTACATGTCAGGATGCATAATAAAGTATAACTGTATAAGTTTCATACGTAAAATATTAATGATTTGACATTAATATTAGGTACTAGCCAATTTTCTAGAAAATTTAAGAAACAGATTTGTATTGTTTTTTTTTTGTGTGAATGAAAATTAATTTTAAAAATATTTCTATAGCAATCATATGGTTGAGTACAACAAAAATTTATATTGGTTTTAAAAATTAGAGACAGTTAAATCTATTAATTAATAATAATAATTAATAATAATAATTTTACTAATATTAATAATAATATTAGTAATTAATAATTAATATTTATAACAATAAGTTAAAATAGTGATATTTTTTAATTTCATGGAAGGTCAACAATTGTTTTCAGTGCATGGGTTAGAGTGGTTGGAAATTTCTTCCTGTGAAACATCGTTTATAGTTAATCATCGTTTACTTTTCACCAGTTCATTACTGATAAGGAAAAACAATTTAAGTATATAACTGAACCATATTATACATAAATTCATATCTATGTTGGAAAATAAATGTCTTATTTTTATAGTTTTTTAAAAAACTTTAATAAATATCAAAATTAATTTCTTTGTGATACAACAATAATTTAAAAAAATAATGGACACTCAAATATAACAGTACTCAAATTTAAATGCTTTGTAATATTATTGATTTAAAAATAAAAGTGTTAAATTATTGTATTCAACTTTAAGCTATAATTTACTTGTACGTTATTGTATATCACTTTAAATTAACTGTTACAATTTTATTTAATAGTTAAATTTCGTTCACGTAAAAGTTTTAAACTCACTAATTGATGTTTAAAATGTAGTAATCAGTGTATTTGAACAYCCTAATGTAGGTACCTACGTTTACTCATAACAGTGATATATGTAGAACTTGGCGTCTTTCAAAGTGATTTATTATTTATTTTGAGCACTGTCGAAATATAAAACTGAATAATTCCCCAGACAACTCAATTCAGCAAAGAAAAGTACAGTTCTTTGACGAATTGAAGTTATTTTAAATTCAGTATGGTTTGAGTATGTTATCTACATATAGTATGATTATTTCACTATAACAAAAACGTTAATATGTCTTCATCTATTTTATAAATCTAAGTTAAGAGGACGCTACACCCGCATGTGTTGTCTCCGTCTTACAAGTGCGTAAAATTGCAAAAACTGTTTCGCGCGGGAAAGAACCAGGAAGGCTACAGTTATAACTGAGAAACAAAATTTTCACCACATAATAAGGAGAACATTTACTGTGCAACGTTGTTTTCAATTTTTCGATATCACAAATAGAAAAAAAGTTCTTATTGTTTCAAAATTCATTATTTTTGTGTTTTTCAAAATCGAATAACTTTTTTTTCAGTTCTAATATCAAAAAAATAAAAACAACGTTGCACAGTCGTAGTTCCCTTTTATCTTTGGTGAGAATTTTGTTTCTTAGTTATGACTGTAGTCTTCTCGGTTCTTTCCCGCGCTAAACAGTTTTTGCAATGTTACGTACTTGTAAGACGGAGACAACGAAGGCGAGTGTAGCGTCCTCTTAAAGGGATTGCATTAATGCATTAATGGACGAGCATAGAGTTGACCATTGATTAATTCATCATTAATTAAATGCTAGTTTATTAACATGCAAAATAAAAACTAAGAATATTATTTATTTATTTCTTTTTAAAGTTACCTATTTAAATTGTTTAAATTTCTACAAAACAGTGACCATTAAAATACTAAATTTCAACAATTTTAAACAGGTTTGAACAGTACTTTTTAACATTTATTCAATATTATTCGATAAATCTATAAAAATAGTTCGTACGGTCTTAGTGGCATTCTCTGAGCTTAATATGTTATTTTTTATTAGGTATTTCAAATGTCTTTATTTTTTTACACTTTTAATTTCTAACAGCAGATTTAAATCATTATTATTGTCATATAATATCATTATGTTTATTATCAATAATAATTAATAATATTGTTTTATTATTAATGTTGTTGACGATAATTAAAAAACTTGCCATTTTTTGTTTATTTTATTTCAACTGAAATAATGAAAACTAATTAAATTTGCACTACCCTCTGGCTCTTATTATAGTCTTATGTGTGACTTATGTGTACACGTTTTGGAGACACATGTCTCGTGTTCCGTTGTTCGTAAAGTAAGAAAGTGGTGAAAAACTTTAATTGTTTGTAACACGCTAAAGATTATTTTACACGTGCGGGATTTTGTGCTTTTCGTGTTTCAAGAAAACATCAAAAATCGTTTTAATAAAACAGTTATACTTCTTAACAAAAATAATAGTGACACATGTTATACAAATACCATTTATTATACTTATTAATAAATTATTATTTTACACCATGTTTCTTTTAAATAGTATTACTAAAAAGCGCTTTGATTGATATTATAATTGTAATTTGTACTATAAATTAATATTGTGTAGTATTTAAATATTTTCGCAAATTAATTAATTTATAATTATTTTAGTATCAAGCATTTTAATGAAAATAATATGCATATGTATATATATTATATATATTAATTACGAATCATATTATATTTTAATAAGTTTAATTTGCACATCTTAAATGTAAAATATTGATTAATCTTAAGTCAAAAACCACCATCACTTTCACTTTGTTATTTTGCATATAAAAATTAAAAAGAGTTAATTTTGGAATTTAAACCAATTGCATCTTGTCATTTGAGAACTAACTATTGTTTTACTACAAATTTCGTTATTGGATTTCTTTTTTCCTTTTGATATGATAATATTTTAATACAAATCTTATCAAATTTAGTTGAAAAAATATTTCATTTTAAATTCTGGCAAGGACTTTAATCTAGTATTATTTAACGCAACATTTTGATATTCTGGATATTACCATTTAAATTTGTTAAGCTTTCTGTTATGAGCTACTACTTTTAAGTTTAAAGTGGTTTATAATATAAAGCATAACTTAGTTTATTATCTGAAATCTATCTAATCTAATCTCTACTATTCTATTATATTATAATATAATTTATTATTGCACAGTATTGAAAACATTTCATTCTATTATTCTACTCAGTGGTATTATTTGTTAGTACGCACTAATTGTATTGTTAGGAAAATTTGAAAATTATTTTTTATGTATCTTATTGTAATTCAAA